TGATGCAGGCTTTAGATGGTATGGGAATATACCATTAAGGAAATTACAGAGACCCAGAAGTGGGAAATGGGCACACTTTTTCAACGATATGTCAGGCCTCCGAATGCACATAGTCTGCCTAAAATACATAAGAAAAATATCCCACTCAGAATTACAGTGAATAAAAAGGTTGCTTAATCTCTAAAATATCACGATTTAGTTATCACCAACTAAAGCAAATTTTCGAGAGCAAGAGGGTTTCAATATGAATTTCTTATAAATTGTTTAATTCAGTTATTGAGAAGAGGATTGAAGGGATTTGTTTGAAAATATTGAAATTGAGTCAATGTACAGAAAATTTCTTGTAGATGGGGCAACAGACATTTGAGAATTAACATTAGATCAACACACAGAGACTAAAAAAAAGTACAATCTAAAGTAAGCAGCCCATAACCATATAAAACAAAGTAAATTATGTGCTATACATATAAATATATATATATGCAATAATACTGGAAAATTGTTCGAATAAGCTCAAATTTTAACACAATTTGTACAGCACTTTAGCCTCCAAATTATTAATTAAGTTTGTAGGCACTGCAAATCCTATTCTATCCTATTCTTATAATTTCTACCAGTGTTAATCATATTCGATTTATTCCCTTATCTTTTTATTTCACTATCCGCTATTATCCTCCTTTTAATATCACACGTTCCATTATCAGCATTCCTGTTAATTTGAGGCCATTCTATCTCATGTCTTATCCCTGCTGTGTCGGCTACTTTTGTCCTTCGGACCCAGCTTCCTTTACAAACATTTTATTTTTCCCCAAATCTTTGTCGAATTGGCCGGAATGTCTCACCAACATAAGGTCGACCAACAGAGCTCACAATCTTTCAGCAACCGGGCCTCGATACTGGGTCATATTTCTCTCTAAAGATGGAATAACCGAAGAAAGTTTGAGGGTTACTTTAAACTCAATTGTATCCCCCACTTTCCACTAATTCTCCAATCTTCTTAGAAATAGGACATGATGACGATATTAGAACATGCGAAAAGGTCTCCGATTATCTATATTTGACTAAACAGTCTCCATCTGAATATGTATTCCTCAGCAAAGTGATTCTATTCTCGATAAGGTCCAAAGGGTAATTATTTTCGAGGACTATATTTGTCAGCCATTCTAATTCTTGGGTGGTTAAACGTTAATGACCCCAGACTGAGAGGTTACGACGGGTGGTTTAGCAACTTGACTTACTACATCTCATCACCTCAACCATACTATCCAGTCTCGGTCAGGGCTTTTTCTTGTGTCATTAAGTCTTGATGACCAGAGCCTGACATTAGGCTGTTTGATCACGGTATTACGCATAGACGTTGACAAGCACACACACATTCGAGCAGAAGCAGCAGGAGCAGGATAATAAGACCTAGGGTAGAAGGACTGCGTAGCAACATTCCCAGCCTAAGGGTGAAGGGGATGTGAACGACAGCGTGGAATGTGAAGGGTTTTCATGAATGCCGCTCAAAGGAGCACACCACACTCAATCGAAATAGGCAAGATAACAAATTGTGACAGTAAAGACGTAATACAAGGATATAGGAAATGTGAATAGCCCAGGGCAGAAGGGGAAACACACAACTATTTAGCACACGTTTGGCCAAAGGATCGTCTTCACTTGTCCCTTTGGCGAGACTCACTGACCATGCCGGCGAAACGTGTGGAAATGTACCACGTCCACGGTCCGATTTGGGAAATGATCATGCATACACTGAACCTCGGACTAGGTGCCTTACTCTATGTCTTCCTACAAATATGAGCAATTTGAGAAAACAAGGTCCAACAACCTCTATACAACGAAAGGAGACTGCGACCACACAAAGACCACACCAGCTTGGTCTTCATACCTTCGATTAGGGCCCGGAGTGTTTGCCTGCCCTGAAGCGGTTTCTCACATTAAGGACGAACACTCAACTCTGAGGCATAGAAGCCCTCAGGATGACGTCATGAAGACAGTGATGGAATCAAATGCGCAATGCTGGCGGAGCCTTAGACCATTTCCCAAGACAATTTAAATGATACCGGCTCTGAGAGGAACATTTTATCTCTGCTCATACACGTTTTGTGTAGATAATTATAACATCGTGAGAACCAGATGAGAGCAAAAGTTCCAATTCATTATGATGCTTTCATGCAGGTGAAAGGGTATTTGAAAAGTCGGGGTAGGCTAAACTTATGAAGCGAAATAAACATGAAGTAAACTGATCCCAAAGAGACCGATTTGGAGGATATGTACATAGGCCGACAACATGTACCAAGTCGATGGTTCGATACTGGAAATCACGAATACTATAGCGAGGACACAGGACTGTTTATGTTCTACATGTTCATCCTGACACTCCGACCAAGTGGCAAAGACAAGGTCGCACCAAGGAGACTACGACCAAACAGAAGGCCACATCATCTTGGTCTTCGTATCTACGATCTAATTACGGCGGTAAAATTGCCAGTTTATGCAAAGAAAAGGAGCATGCCATTTGACCTTTCTTCACTTTTGTAATCGCTATGGCAGCTCTCCCAGTTTTCGCAATTTGCTGAGAAAATTTTATTTCGATAAGCTAAATGCTATTATAATATAGCAAATATTAGTTGAGGCATATGATAGGGAGGGGGAAATATTTAAGATATTTAAATATAGTCGAATCATATAATATTGTAGTGGCCTATCCTATACACTTTTCCAATTCAATGTTTATTTTTCCCACATTCCCTGCGTAGCCATGGATCAACAGCTATGTACACGAAGATCGCGAGTGTTTATGACTAATCTTTATTCCTTATTTCGCATCGACCAATCAAAAGCTTGGCACCGAATCATCCAATCAGACGTTGACATGAAAAATTACCCTAAGATGCTGTTTATGTTGATCACGAAACCCAATTTCTCTTCGTATCTACACGTTTTCTGAGTTATGAAGAAAAGTTTGGTTCCGAAGGGTCCCTTCCTCTTCCTTTTCTCTCTCCCCTTTGCAGCGGCCCAAGGAGTTCAGACTTTTCTCTTCCGCACCCCCTTTCAATGATTGTTTTTCTTTGTCGGTCGTTTCTAATTAGGACACTTGTTAATACCATTTTTACTTTTATATCTTGGTTTCGGAACCTCCAACTTTCGATTTATAGACTTCACGCGCTTTTTATCTTAGAGGCAGTCAACACGCTCTTTCTAATAACTAAAATACCTCATATAATCCTATCGATTCTAAACAAATTAATACTTATCCAATCTAATCTCTTCAAATCCAGTCTAATTTAATCAAATCTAATCAAATTTGTTCAAAGTTTACACATCTAGTCTAATGGCTCACTGGGTAGTTAGTCAGCCGTCGACCCCTTCACCTAACCTCCAACTAATGTCCTTTCAGCGAACCGACAACCCGGCATCACTACCATCTGACCCATGGATCAGTGGTTCCCAAACTTTTCCTAGTCGCGGCGCCCTTTTTTAATTAAAATTTTTCCATGGCGCCCTACCCTAAGAGATAAAAATAAATAAAATTTGTGTATCTTCATTATCTTTTTACTTTATTAGAAGGGCATATTCGTCTTTTATTGAAATCAAAAATTCTGTCAATTCCATGCTGCCAAATTTTGCTTTCAAACTGATATCGCAAGATAACTCTATAGTATTCTCTTCTTCTGCAAAAGTAACTTCAGACGAAACACTCGTGTTAAATGGATCTTGAATGCATGCCAACTTATCGAAATTTTCATTTTGAAAATATTTCACAAGCTGTGATAAGTGCTCCTCAAACATGGTTTTTATATATCTTAAGAAAGATCATGTTCATTTGACGTCAAAAATTGCTGTAATATTGAAAAACAATCTTTGTCTGTATCTTCATTCAATTTTATTCTCCATAGTTTGAGTTTTCTTGTAAAAGCTGATATTTTATAGGCCAAATGTCTGGGTTAAATTAATTATGAAGCTTTTACAATATTTCGCGGCGCCCCTGTAAAGAGGCCGCGGCTCCCCGGGGCGCGGCCATAGGCCAATTACACAAACATTTGTACAAACTTCGTCGTGTTAATTGTGTGTATGTCTACAGAAGCTTTGGCTATCAGGCCTGTCATTGTCACCACCATAGCCAAGGTCCATCCTTGTGGCATTCGCTTTGTGACTTGAGCGAGAGAGGCTTAGAAACTTCGAGAAAGAGAGAGAGAGAGAAAGAGAGAAGAGGAAGCATTTGCTCACAGTTGTGAATAAAGGCAGTTTGCAAGTTGCCACGACCGTGCCCAACCAAGTGACCAGTCATCGGTCGTGGACAGCGTCTATGGCTTGAGATATTTTTAGTAGTCAAACCCAGTTTCCGGACCTATGACCTAGTTCACCTAAGTTTGTCTAGCCCACATCGATCTGCCCCTTTCAAAGTCGCCTAAGCGTAGGCTCACTCAGACGGCGTAGATGCTGCATCGTCTATCCATTCGGCCTGCGCATGGCTGGCCTGACTATCAACGGACGCAACACTCTCGGGCCCCGCCATTAGTTGACTGTGCGACGGCAATTGGTCCTTTTGAGGCGGCTTTTTTGTGCGTTCGATCGAACCAGCCCTTTCGCCTGCTCCACCGTTCTGCTGGACTGGCGCGAGTCCAGTTCAAACGGCCATACCTACGCGGTAGAATGGCCGCGAGGCGACATGAGGGCTGGGCCTGTTGACTTTAACAAATTTTCATTCTCACTCAGCCTCAAGACTATCCGCAATCGTGGAATAAGAACTTTTTTAGGTCACGTTCTCGGCTCACCGTCCTTCCAAACTGAGTCATTCGTGCTGGGCTTTCGTCGTCAGGGCTACTCACCAAAGCCTAGGACGCGAAGGCACGACGGATATGGACTGGACAGCGGCCTAGTTTCGCAATCCAAGTCAAGTCGCACATGCCTTAGAGTGGGATTGAGGTTGGAATTTTCACACAATCCTATTAGTACACCTCACAATTGCCCCCCAAAGACACTTATTGCTCGGACTTTACGACCGATTTAGTCTATCTGTTGTCACTGAGGTACGTTGAAATTCAATCGGACGCGTCGAGACGCAACAGGTTATTCCTGTAGATACGACCAATAACTAGGTCTCACTGAATCCCCTGAGATAACCTTGTTGAGGGGACTTTCATTTCGTATGATGTGCGTGAAGAAGATATTTGTAGGTTGATCTCACCAGAAGACGACGGGCAATCAAACGTGAGCAAATTTAGCATGACCAATAAAAGGGACAGTTTACCAAATCATTCTATATCTATCTATGCCTATGCAGTTATGTTTTTTTTAGCTATAAGTGTATATAAGAGGGAAGATAGAGCCGGATAGTTTTCTCGACCTCGTGTTAACGTAGGAATTTTAGAAGAATCATTTAAAGCTCTGTTTACACCCGAAGCTGGGGAGGATGTTTAGTAGACTGCGTCAGCATGGACATCGTAGTTAAGCCAAACTGCTGCAGTGCAACGGGATTCAGTCGTCGTCTTCTGGCGAGATCAACCTACGAATCTCTTCTTCGTGCAAATTCATACGAAATGGAAGTCTCCCCAACAAGGTCACACCTTTACACAACCACTAATGCCAGTGGGTGTCAGTGCTGATGCTACTTTCTACCGGCTGGCATTTCACCAGTCGAATTGACGATGAGGCAAACTTGTATTTAACTTTGGTGAGAGCAGATTTCAAGACTGTCAGTAGTTGTTGAATCAAAACGTAGTCGTTTGAGGTGAGTTAAGGACTGCCAATCGAGTTTTCGCATAATCAGATGATTAGACTTGACTGAACTGGACTGGACTAGACTAAACTGAATTGCAATCTCGACCTCGTTGCTTCATCGTGCTTCATCGGCATGCCTGACGGGATTCGAACCCGAGTCGGGAGTCTCGTGGCGACAAGTAACCACTCCACTTCACGGCCACAAGGTGCCGGTGGGCCACAGAGCAGAGGTTCCAGTCAAGTCAAGCCAAGTCAGGCCTGACCCAAATCACACTTTCATTGTACTATTTTGGGATGAAGTCAGACTCGTGTTCGCCGTTGCAATCGACGACGCAACTTATTTTTGGTATAAGTGAGCTTAGAGACTATCGATAGTTCTCTAATAATAGCTGAGTCAGCCTAAGTCGCTTGAAATTATTTACTCACAGATGGTTGAGTTTTTGTCTGCGAAGCAACGTTGAATTTCGAGTAATCTTGTTTCTCTGACACAGCGTCAGCAAGAATGTTCCAGTAAAACCAATCGACGGGTAACTAAGAGGAATTCGCCATCCTCTTCTGATGGGAACGACTTTTAAGCTTTTATCTTTTTAATATCACAATCGGCTTCAATGATAATTTCACGAAAGAATGTTATTTTCGAAGAGTCTAGAAATGTCTTAAAAGTCGCACATG